CGAAGACCTCTTTACCGGGACGGTCAACGAAAGCCTCGCCGGTGTTGCCAACGGCGTGGACAAAGTCGGCAACAGCCTGGGAGGTGATGACTTCACGGCCACCGCTGAAAGTGGCGGTGGTAGGGGTGTCGAAGGGCACATCCTTGTTGCCGAACCAGATGCGGTAGTAGAACTCCTTGATGCGGTCGTTGCGGTCACCCATGACTTCGCGGATGGGAGCGTACCCAGTCTCGGGGTGGTAGGTGAACAGGAAGGACAAGGTGGTGACACCATTCTCAGCGGTGCGGCCCTCGAAGAGGGTCAGGCTGATCTGACCGTTCTCGTTCATCTTGGCCTCCACGGTCTTGACAAGCTTGCCAGACTGGTAGGGCTCACGGACGCTGATAACCGTCTTGGCAGGGTCATTGGGGTTGACAATCTCAACAAACATGCCCCCAGTGGGTGCAACAATGCGCTTCATAGGGTTGGTCTGGAAACGGTGGCCCTGAACGAAGACATCGGCCAGGAACAGAGCGTGTCTCCAGGAGTAGACATTACCAGCCAAAAGGCTGAGCCAGCGGTCAGAGTCAGGCAGGACTGCGGAGGGAGAGGAAGACAGGCGGAAGCTAATCTTGTTGGACTCCTCGGAGACGGTGAGACCGTCAAGTTCGGACTCAGTGTCGGTGTTTAGGAGCTGTCCACCGAAGTACTCGATGGTGGGGATCTTGGACTTCTCGCTACCGTAGACATCACGCAAAAGGCCGGCGATGTGTCCCTGGTGAATACCATCAAGGATGTCCTTGACGGGCTCATCGATGATGTTGGAGAAGCGGGCGGCCATGGGACCCTGAAGGATACAAGTACGGCCGACATCCTGGTCAACAACGGCCTCAAGGTCCTCACTCTGCCACAGAGAATCCTTCTTGAAGAAGAACTCGAAGTTCTCATCCAGGACGGGAACGAAAGGAACGGGCTTCTGGCCACGTCGCTGGCAGAGCAGCAGGAAGTGCTGCACATCCTGGGCGTTGATCAACTGGCTAGCAGCCTCGGGGTAGGCAGCCAGGATGTTCTTAACGGCAGGGTAGGGAGTGTCGAGGTCAGAGTAACTCTGCAACAGAGAAGCCTGGCCCTCGGCAGTGGTGAAACGCTCCTCAACACGGCGAATGAAGTCACCGGTCAACTTCTTCAGGGAAGGATCAATCCAGCGGGACTCGTGCTTGACGTACATGAGATCCACCATACGGTGAACAACCTCGGTGTAGGTCATGTCTTCGAGATCCACGGTCTCACCAGCGGTGTTGCGACCGAACCACACCTTATGGAAGTCATCATTGAGCTTCTTGATGATGTAGTTGCGCTGCTTCTTCAACTCAGGGACCCGCTTGGCCTTGTCAAGCTTGAAGATCTTCTGATCCATCTCCTGCCAGAACAGCACACCGCGGGTGGCCAGCTTGTGGATGGGCTCACCCATCTCGGAGAGGACAGTGATCACACCGCCAGTGGCACCCTTGTATGTCTTCTCCCACTCGGCATCGTCGACACCAGGAGCATCGGCAATAGCCTTCTTGGCATTGTGAGAAGTGTGGGCCTCCTTGGCGATCATCATACGTGAACCGAAGAGACAGCCATCGAAGGGCATGGGAGGGTAGCCGTACTTGTGGGACCATTCACCAGAGAGGTAAGGGTAGGTGTCCTCGGAGCCACCGAAGCCACTGCCAGCAACAAGGATAATGTTATCCTGTTTGCGAATGCGGCCGTACATCTGAAGCACGGGCTGGTGGAAGTCCTCGAACGAGTGGTGACCACCACCACGACCACCGGTCCATTGAAGGATGATGGGGAACTTGGGGTTGGCCTTGGCGACGTTGATGACTTGCTGAATGGCGTCGACGGAACCGGGCTTGAAGGCGATGTGCTTGATACCGAGAGTCTCAATGTACTCATTGGCGACCTCAATGGAGGGCACACCGGCACCGATGGTCAGACCCTCAATGGGCACGCCCTCGGCACGCAAGCGACCGATGAGAGGGATCTGCCAGGCCATGGCACGGGGGTTGACGTAAATCAAGTTGATAGTGATACCACGTCCAGGAGGAATGGCCTTCTCGATCTTGGTGATGGCCTCGGTCATGGTCTTAGCGTTGTAATAACCACCACCAGCCAGCTCAATGTGGTAGCCAGCGTTCATAGTGGCGGCCACAAAGTCCCAGGGGACGGTAGTGGGGGTCATACCAGCAACCATCACAGGAGGAATACCCAGCAGGCGACTCATCTTGGTGTCGACGTAGGTTTGACCGGTAGAGGTCTGCACCAGACGGGGGCCGTGCTCCTTAACCCAATCGGTGGCATACTTGACGGAGTGCTCATCACGGTCGAACAGTTCCGGCTTGTAGCCAACCTCGGCGTTGGTGCCATCCATCTCGCCGGCAAGAATGACGCGAACACCAGTGCCGTCCTTGTTACGGTTGGTGAGAACACCCAGACCGGAGATACCACCAGGACCGAAGTCAAGGATGTGGGTAGCACCGGGGAAGACGGTAGCCTGCTCCCAGTTGACTGGATCGTGTGTGATCATGCGAATCAGCGAGGGAACCACGCTCTTGTCACCCAGAGTGCGCAGATCCTCGCCGGTCTTGGTGTCGAAGACGGGGATCACCAGAGACTTGGCGGGGATGGTAACATCCTCGAGATCCTCGAGAATGCGGTCATAAGCAGACGTGAGATACTGGCTGTGGAAAGGAGCAGTGATGGGGAGGAAACGGTTGACGAAGCGAACCTTGCGCTGGGTGAAGGGCACACGGTTCTGGTCGAGGCCAGTAGCGGCCTTGACCTTGCGCAGACGGAGGTTCAGACCGTAGAGCGAGATTGGGGGACCAGTCACCACAAAGTTGCGGGCACTGTTGACCAGAGAGATGGAGATGTGACGGTCCTCGGGCAAATGTTGGTTGGTGGCATCAATGTGCTCCTGAACGGCGGCGCGAGAGAGGTCACGGATGGACAGCATAGGAGTAGGAGTACCCTCGCCGTTCTCAATCGAGTCCTGGAGAACGGAGGGAGCGATGGAAGTGCGGGGATAAGCCTGCTGGCTGCGAAGACCAATCCAGAACAGCATTGTCAAAGCGTTCTTAGCGGCTTTGGCGAAGGACTCCCAGCTGGTGGCAGTCGCAATAGCTGCGGCAGTCACCACACCCTGGGAGTGACCGGTCGTTCCGAGAATACGCTCCAAGATATCACCGGGCTGGCGACCCAAGACTTTGCAGGTCACTGTGTAGTGGGCCAACTGAACCAACCCAATCAAAGGCAAACTCACCGGGGCGGACACCAGATAATCGATATCGGGCTGAGCGTCCCGATCCTGCAGCCAGCGCATGATATCCAGACCCTTGGGGTACAGCTTGCTCGCCTCGGGCTCATGAGAGAGCGATTGAAGCAGCTCGGCGGAAGAAGTAATAAGGTCCTCCAAGAAGGAGGGGTAGGTGTTGTAAATGCTGCGCAATTCATCAAAGTATTCCTCGATGTTGCCCTGTCCACCGAAGACAGAGTAGATCCCGGCAGTCTCATCCGAGGCCGCACGGAACAAAGCTGAGTCGTAGGGCTTGGTGGGCCGGCCCGCCGCAGCTCGCCCAGCATAGTAGGCCTCCACAACCTGGTTCTTCTTGGCCACGATGCCGGGAAGGGCAGCAGCCACGGCGTGCACATCATTACCGCGCATGAAGGCACGTTCAAATTCGTTCATCACGAGCTTCAGCACATCCAAGTAGTTGCCTGACGCATCATCCTCGCCCTCGTCGAGCTCGTGTGCCACATGGCCAATGTAGCGAGCCACGAGCTCGGTCACTGATGATGGCTCGTCATCTTGAGCCAATTCATCTGTAGGTTCCGGTAGCGAAGCGGTGAAGCTATCTTTCAACTGCGAGGCATGGAAGTGAAGCGAGGTAGGAACGAGGAAGGAGAACTCGAGAGAGCCATGCGAGAGGATTAAAGGGCGGAGAGATTGAGAGGATCGAGGAGTGTTGATTCCGGTTTGGGGACCGGTGGATGTGCCGTACATGATGTTCTCTGTGTTTCTGTGTTCGGGGGGGAAAGAAAGAGAAAGAAGAGAAGGGAGGACCGCGGAGAAGAAGAGGCCTGGAGGAAGGAACGATCAGTCTCAAACCGGCAACGACGGGGGGGTTGGAAACCACGCAAAGGGGAAGGCACGACTCACAGGTCCAATTGATCTCTAGACGAGATAAAGGGGGTATTAATCAAAGAATATAATTATCAAGGCCAAACACAACAACTATACATATAACACGAAAGCATCAATTGACCTGGGGAGGGGAGGAAGAAAAAAAGATCCGCTGTTGAACTGCAGGTAGCTGAATCGGGTTTAGCGCCGTCACAGACCCGCCCCAATGGGTTGCGACTTGGACCCGTTGAGGATGACAATTCAGTGTTCGATGCTATTCTATGAGTATGTTTAAGCTGTAGCCAGTACAATGTAGTCTGATATAATCATCCTGAATATAGTATACAGTCTACTCTGTAGCATAGAGTATACGCGTTGGGTGATCCGAGCAATGCCCGCCGTTAGTCCTAGATCCGGCCGAAGCTCTGGAACCCCAACGCCCTCACCAATTTATGTCCCTCCCCATTCCCCCGATTTTCGCTGTTGAACGTCTAGTAGAGAACTAGAATTAGAACTATCACTCCTCCCCTTCTATCTGGGAATCTATCATCTCAAATAATTTCGGGGTGAGTGCATTGTCCCTATAAAAAAAACCGTGGGAAAATTACAGGTATTACATACCAACCAAGCTCTCCGACTTCCCACCTCTTTTTTTCTTGCCGTTCAGGAACTCAACTGACACCTGGACAGGTACTTGGTCTCTAATTTCTTCCCCTTCTCCATCCACCCCCTTACATTTATTACGCTTTTATTTTCGGGCATACTCTGCGACTCTCCTTCGTCGCGCCCGCAATTCGCCAGGACTTCACGTCCTTTTTGTTTTTAATCAATTGATACCCAGACTTCCAACATGCGTCCGGAAGTGGAACAAGAGCTTGCTCACACCTTGCTGGTGGAGCTGCTGGCCTACCAATTCGCCTCCCCCGTCAGATGGATCGAGACACAGGATGTGATCCTCGCTGAGCAGCGCACCGAGCGCATTGTTGAAATCGGTCCCGCAGATACCCTTGGAGGAATGGCACGGCGGACACTAGCCTCCAAGTACGAGGCCTACGATGCCGCTACTTCAGTGCAACGTCAGATTCTTTGCTACAATAAGGATGCGAAGGAGATCTACTACGATGTCGATCCCGTGGAGGATGAGCCCGAGCCCGCCGCAGAGCCTGCTTCTTCAGGTGCCCCTGCAGCGGCACCCGCTGCCGCTCCTGCGGCTGCAGCCCCCGCGGCTCCCAGTGCTGGCCCCGCTGCCGCCGTGGAGGACGTCCCCGTCACAGCCGTCGATATTCTACGGACATTGGTTGCTCAGAAGTTGAAGAAGGGCCTCGCAGATGTTCCCTTGACAAAAGCTATTAAGGATCTTGTTGGAGGTAAGCATACCGTTTTTACAGGATACCTTCAGTCACTAACTGTCAATAGGCAAGTCCACATTACAGAATGAAATCCTGGGTGACCTGGGTAAGGAATTCGGTTCCACGCCAGAGAAGCCCGAAGATGTTCCCCTCGATGAGCTCGGTGCCTCGATGCAAGCCACATTTAACGGCCAATTGGGCAAGCAGTCCTCTTCTCTCATTGCCCGCATGGTCTCCTCCAAGATGCCTGGTGGCTTTAACATCACTGCGGTTCGCAAGTACCTGGAGACTCGCTGGGGCTTGGGCTCTGGCCGCCAAGACGGTGTGCTCTTACTCGCTCTCACTATGGAGCCCGCTGCCCGTCTGGGCTCCGAGGGTGATGCCAAGGCTTACCTTGATGATGTGACCAACAAGTATGCTGCCAGCGCCGGAGTCAACCTCTCGGCTCCTGTCGCCGGTGGTGACAGCGGTGGTGGCGGCGGTGGTATGATGATGGACCCTGCTGCCATTGATGCTCTTACCAAGGATCAGAAGGCTCTGTTCAAGCAACAGCTTGAGATCATTGCCCGCTACCTCAAGATGGACCTCCGTGGTGGCGAAAAGGCCTACATTACCTCCCAGGAGACCCAAAAGACTCTTCAGGCCCAGCTGGACTTGTGGCAGGCAGAGCACGGTGACTTCTACGCCTCCGGCATTGAGCCCTCCTTCAACCCTCTCAAGGCCCGTGTCTATGACTCCTCATGGAATTGGGCTCGTCAGGATGCCTTGAGCATGTACTACGATATTATCTTCGGCCGCCTCGAAGTGGTCGACCGTGAGATTGTCAGCCAGTGTATTCGCATTATGAACCGCTCCAACCCCCTCCTCCTCGAATTCATGCAATACCACATCGACAACTGCCCCGCCGAGCGCGGAGAGACCTACCAGCTCGCCAAGGAACTTGGACAGCAGCTCATTGACAACTGTCATGAGGTCCTGAATGTGGCTCCTGTTTACAAGGATGTCGCTGTTCCTACCGGTCCCCAGACCACCATTGATGCCCGTGGGAACATTGGCTACAAGGAAACTCCTCGTGCCAGCGCTCGCAAGCTCGAGCACTACGTCAAGCACATGGCTGAGGGTGGCCCCATCTCCGAGTACAGCAACCGCACCAAGGTTCAGCACGACCTGAAGAACGTCTACAAGATGATCCGCAAGCAGCACCGCCTGTCTAAGTCTTCGCAGATCCAGTTCGACACTTTGTACAAGGATGTCCTGCACGCTCTCGGCATGAACGAGGGTCAGATCATCCCCCAGGAGAATGGTTCTGCCAAGAAGGGCCGCAACGGTCTTAAGCGCACTGTCACTCGCCCCGGCAAGGTCGAGACCATTCCCTTCCTTCACCTGAAGAAGAAGACCGAGCACGGCTGGGACTACAACAAGAAGCTCACTGGTACCTACCTCAATGTGCTTGAGTCTGCTGCCCGTGACGGTCTCACCTTCCAGGGTAAGAACGTCCTCATGACCGGTGCTGGTGCCGGTTCTATTGGTGCCGAGGTCCTGCAGGGTCTCATCAGCGGTGGTGCCAAGGTTATTGTCACCACCAGCCGCTTCTCCCGTGAGGTCACTGAGTACTACCAGGCCATGTACGCCCGCTACGGTGCTCGTGGCTCCCAGCTCGTGGTTGTTCCCTTCAACCAGGGTAGCAAGCAGGATGTTGAGGCTCTGGTCGACTACATCTACGACACTAAGAAGGGTCTCGGCTGGGACTTGGACTTTGTTGTTCCCTTCGCCGCTATCCCCGAGAACGGACGTGAGATCGACTCTATCGATTCCAAGTCCGAGCTGGCTCACCGTATCATGTTGACCAATCTGCTCCGCCTTCTCGGTTCCATCAAGACCCAGAAGCAGGCAAATGGCTTCGAGACTCGTCCCGCCCAGGTCATCCTGCCCCTGTCGCCCAACCACGGTACCTTCGGTAACGACGGTCTGTACTCCGAGTCCAAGCTCGCCCTGGAGACTCTCTTCAACCGTTGGTACTCCGAGAGCTGGAGCCACTATCTCACTATTTGCGGTGCCGTCATTGGCTGGACCCGTGGTACTGGTCTCATGAGCGGTAACAACATGGTTGCTGAGGGTGTTGAGAAGCTTGGTGTCCGCACCTTCTCTCAGCAGGAGATGGCCTTCAACCTTCTCGGTCTGATGTCTCCCGCCATTGTCAACCTCTGCCAGCTCGACCCTGTCTTTGCCGACCTCAACGGTGGTCTGCAGTTCATTCCTGACCTCAAGGGATTGATGACCAAGCTCCGTACCGACATCATGGAGACCAGCGATGTTCGCCAGGCTGTCATTAAGGAGACCGCCATCGAGAACAAGGTCGTCAACGGCGAGGACAGTGGACTTCTGTACAAGAAGGTTGTTGCAGAGCCCCGTGCCAACATCAAGTTCGAGTTCCCTAACCTGCCTGACTGGGAAGAGGAGGTCAAGCCCCTCAACGACTCTCTCAAGGGTATGGTCAACCTGGACAAGGTTGTCGTTGTCACTGGTTTCTCTGAAGTCGGTCCCTGGGGTAACTCCCGTACCCGTTGGGAGATGGAGTCTAAGGGCAAGTTCTCCCTGGAGGGCTGCGTTGAGATGGCTTGGATTATGGGTCTGATCAAGCACCACAATGGTCCCCTCAAGGGCAAGGCCTACTCCGGCTGGGTTGACGCCAAGACTGGTGACCCGGTCGATGACAAGGATGTCAAGCCCAAGTACGAGAAGCACATTCTCGAGCACACTGGTATCCGTCTCATCGAGCCCGAGCTGTTCAAGGGTTACGACCCCAAGCAGAAGCAGCTCCTCCAGGAGATCGTCATCCAGGAGGACCTCGAGCCTTTCGAGTCCTCCAAGGAGACCGCCGAGGAGTTCAAACGTGAGCACGGAGACAATGTCGAGATCTTCGAGATCCCCGAGTCTGGCGAGTACACCGTCCGCCTCCGCAAGGGCGCCACCATGCTCATCCCCAAGGCTCTCCAGTTCGACCGTCTCGTCGCTGGTCAGGTGCCTACTGGCTGGGATGCCAGTCGCTACGGTATCCCCGACGACATTATCGAGCAGGTTGACCCCGTCACTCTGTTCGTCCTGGTCTGCACTGCTGAGGCTATGCTCTCCGCCGGTATCACCGACCCCTACGAGTTCTACAAGTACGTCCACCTTTCCGAGGTCGGTAACTGCATTGGTTCCGGTATTGGCGGTACCCACGCTCTCCGCGGTATGTACAAGGATCGCTACCTGGACAAGCCCTTGCAGAAGGATATTCTGCAGGAGTCTTTCATCAACACCATGAGTGCTTGGGTGAATATGTTGCTTCTCTCCTCCACTGGCCCCATCAAGACCCCCGTCGGTGCTTGCGCCACGGCTGTCGAGTCCGTTGATATCGGTTACGAGACCATTGTCGAGGGCAAGGCTCGTGTCTGCTTCGTCGGTGGTTTCGATGACTTCCAGGAGGAGGGCTCCTACGAGTTCGCCAACATGAAGGCCACCAGCAACGCCGAGGATGAATTCGCTCACGGCCGCACACCCCAAGAGATGTCGCGTCCCACTACCACCACCCGTGCTGGATTCATGGAGTCCCAAGGTTGCGGTATGCAGCTCATCATGACTGCCCAGCTCGCTCTTGACATGGGTGTCCCCATTCACGGTATCATTGCCCTGACCACCACCGCCACTGACAAGATCGGACGTTCCGTGCCAGCTCCTGGTCAGGGTGTCCTCACCACTGCCCGTGAGAACCCCGGCAAGTTCCCCTCGCCTCTGCTCGACCTCAAGTACCGCCGTCGCCAGCTGGATCTCCGCAAGAAGCAGATCAACGAGTGGCAGGAGTCCGAGCTCCTCTACCTCCAGGAGGAGGTCGAGGCCATGAAGGCCCAGAGCGACGAGACGTTCAACGAGTCCGAATACTTGCAGGAGCGTGCTCAGCACATTGAGCGCGAGGCCATCCGCCAGGAGAAGGATGCTCAGTTCAGCCTGGGCAACAACTTCTGGAAGCAGGATTCGCGCATTGCTCCTCTCCGTGGTGCCCTTGCTACCTGGGGTCTGACCGTCGATGACATTGACGTCGCCTCCTTCCACGGCACCTCCACTGTTGCCAACGACAAGAACGAGTCCGATGTCATCTGCCAGCAGCTGAAGCACCTTGGCCGTTCCAAGGGTAACGCCGTCATGGGTATCTTCCAGAAGTACCTCACCGGTCACCCCAAGGGTGCCGCTGGAGCCTGGATGTTCAACGGCTGTCTCCAAGTCCTGGAGAGCGGTCTCGTCCCCGGCAACCGCAACGCCGACAACGTCGACAAGGTCATGGAGAAGTTCGATTACATCGTCTACCCCAGCCGCAGCATCCAAACCGACGGTGTCAAGGCTTTCTCCGTCACCTCCTTCGGTTTCGGTCAAAAGGGTGCTCAGGTCATTGGTATCCACCCCAAGTACCTGTACGCCACTCTCGAGAAGGCTCAGTACCAGGCCTACAAGACCAAGGTCGAAGCCCGCCAGAAGAAGGCCTACCGCTACTTCCACAACGGCCTGATCAACAATAGCATCTTCGTCGCCAAGAACAAGGCCCCTTACGAAGACGACCTCCAGAGCAAGATCTTCCTGAACCCAGACTACCGCGTCTCAGTTGACAAGAAGACTTCCGAGCTCAAGTACTCCGCCACCGCCCCGGTGGCCAAGGAGTCCGAGGCCACCCGCCAAACCGTCGAGTCCCTCGCCAAGGCCAACGCCTCGGAGAACTCCAAAATTGGCGTCGACGTCGAGCACATCGACTCCGTCAACATCGACAACGAGACCTTCGTCGAGCGCAACTTCACCGCTAGCGAACAGGCGTACTGCCGCAAGGCCGCCTCCCCGCAGTCCTCCTTCGCCGGTCGCTGGAGCGCCAAGGAAGCAGTCTTCAAGTCCCTCGGCGTGAGCAGCAAGGGAGCCGGCGCTGCCTTGAAGGAAATCGAGATCGGAGTCGACGCCAACGGCGCCCCGACCGTTAACGTAAGTTCAGACACACACACTTTCTCTCACTATATCAATCCAGACAGAAAGCTAACATAACCCCCATAGCTCACTGGTGCCGCCGCTGCCGCCGCTAAGCAAGCCGGCGTCAAGCAGGTCAGCGTTAGCATCAGCCACAGCGATTCTCAGGCTGTTGCCGTTGCCGTCTCGCAGTTCTAGATCTAGATTAAGGCTAGGATGAGAGAGGGGGCCTGTTTTTTGGTGTTGTTTCGCATATAGATCCTTGAGATCGGGCATTCTGTTATTTTCTTGTTTTTTTTTTTGTGCCCTGCTGATTCTCTTGGGTTGAGACGTAATGATTGTGATTTATGTTTTTTAGATTTCCGGACCGGTTTTCGTCTCCTGGTTCGTTGTGTTTATAATGGGAGTAATGAATGGCATTTCTTAGTTCTTTTATTTTACTCCTATAATCTAGAATTCCAATCACTAAATGACATCGCGTAATACAGAGATCAAAAAGTAAATATCATAGAAAATATACAACAACTCCATCTATTTCTCAAATCCAAAGAAACATCACGACCTCCCAGCCCGATTCAACGGACCCCAATGTTCACGAGGGTTAAGCTGATACCGCACAAGCCTCTTACTAGTATGCTGTTCCGAAACTTGGCGACCAAGCTCAGCATCGAACGTCACTTGGAGGGTACTAGGATGAGGAGGCTTAGATGGAGATGTAGAGGTAGAGGTAGCAGCGTGCGCAGACGCAGAAGCATCACCAGAAGAGACACCCTCATTTCCCTTCCCAGCACTCGCATTCCCACCCCTCGCACCAGACCGATAAAGCGCAGCTTCAACCTTCGTAACGAGATCCCCAACATCCCTCCCACCTTGGATAGCAGCAAGTAACTCAGTCTTCAAAGTCGAAAGGCTCTGGTCACCTACTCCCTCACCCTGCCCATCTCCACCGGCAGACACCCGCAAATTCTCACGACTCTTAGCCATAATCCCAGCACCGGCGGTACCAGGCTTCAAAGAAGGAGATTTATTAGGAGCGTGCTGACGAACCCATTCACGCATAATCTCCCAGACAACAGCCCAGGGGGCGTCAGTACGGATAGAGTTTGGTTTCGTGTGGCTGCGGGTTGAGCGGTAGCCCAGGTGGGCGATTGCGCCGCGGAATTCATCGATAGGCGGTGTTGTTGTGTGCAGGACTTTTGAGAGGGCGCTTAGGGAGAAGTAGAATGGGTGCAGGGACTTAGGGGTTAGGGGTTGGCGGGGGATTAGGGCTGGGTAGGAGGTATTGTCTGAGTCGGAGGTTTTGATGTTGATTTCGGTTTCGGTTTCAGGTTTGGGTGTTGAGGTTTCGGCTGATGACTTGGATGGGGTTAGGTCCAGGTCTTCTTCCAGGGCTGTTGTTAACATGCCCTCGATGCGAGCGGTTGTTTGGTAGGTTTGTTTGTCGGCGCCGGGGAGCATGTCCAGGATCTTTTGGATGAAAATTGGGTTGTGAAGGGGTCCTGCCCACATTGGACCTGCGAGGTGTGTTTTTGTGCCGCAGTGTTCGCAGTTTGGGCTGGAGGTTGGGCCCTTGGTTATGCCGTGGTGGTAGAAGGGGTTTCCCTTCTTGTCTGAGCGTTCCCTTGTCGAGGCGATGGGTTGGGTAGACCAGGCGCCGCAGCCGGCGTCGCAGTTCCATACGAGCATGGTGTTACCTGCGTTGAACTTGACTTGGGCAGGGGAGCGGTAGACGCGCACGAAAACGCGGGCGTAGAAATCGATGGACAGAGACAGGAGCGGCTCAATGGAGATTCCGTATTTAGAGGCTGACATAGCGAGACTGTTCAGGATCAGACGGAGACCACCCTCGTGGGAGTGTTGGCCTTTGACGGGGATACCGCCGTACAGGGCGAATGCCTTCTCTGAGTAGCCGGTTGAGGCCCAGACACCGGCGTCCGTGCAGGTGACGCAGAGGAGACCACCGTCTTTGGCGGCCTGGACAGCACCATCCAGGAATGGGCCTGCTGTGCCGTAGGGATCGAGATCGATCACATCGAACTTGTCGGCGTGGTCGAGTCCGTACATGAAGGCGCGGGCATCGCCCAGGTTAGGCTGGATGCGGTCCTCGAGCTTGTTGTACTCGATGTTGGTCTTCATGGACTTGATTGCCGACTCGGACATGTCATTTCCCACGACCTTGGTGACGAAGGGAAGTTCCGAGGCGTAGCGAAGAGCACGCAGGCCTGTTGCGGACAGGGCGTCGAGAACTGTAAAAGATGGTGGCGGGTGCTGTTTTTCGGGGTTCGCATCGGCTTGCTGGTCGATTGGGGCAGATACTGGCTGCTCGTTCTCTTCAGCATTGCCCTCTTGCTCTCCCTCCTTGGGTGCGGGCCTCGGAACCTGTTCTTTCTCATTCTCGTCGTCTTCGCGCTTGCGTTTCTTTTCGCCATTGCCTGCGCGCTTCTTCATCTTCTGATCCGTCTTTTTCTTCCTTAGGTCCATGGCATGTTCGCCATACGCGCGAATAGCTAGCACACTCAGGTCGCGGTTGAATTGCTGGATTGGATTGTAGAAAACGGATTGCGCTTGGTCGTCCTCTTTGAGGTGCCTCTTTGGCCCCTTGGAGGCGGCTTCCTGGGACGGAGGGTTGAGGATATGCGCGAGTCCTTCCTTGATGACATTGTACTCTGTGCCCTTGTATTCCACCTGCCTAGGTGTTCCGGCCGCTGTGTTCTCCATGGTAGAAAAGAGTCGAGGTAGAGGTACTCGGGGGGTAGATGGCGAGCGAGGGAATTGGGTGAAAACAAGGGTCGAACTCGGTTTCTTAAATGCGCATTGTATTGTCAGGCGAAAAATCAAAGAGGTGGGCATGGAGACCTGTAGAAAAAGATTGTTGCATGAAGAGTTGAGGAAAAGATGCGGCGCACGGACCAAGTGGCATTAAAGATTAGTTGACATCTATACGCTATACTTATATACTTCCATACTCATATACATATGCACGGTCTCTCATAGCCAGTCTCCAATAACAGGGACCTGGCTATACATATCATTCCACCCCTTGGCCTCCCATCCAACACCCTCACCACCACGTCCAATAACACCAAGAGCACCAGCAAGCCAGAGAGACGCGCCAACAGCAGCAATGCCATTAACTATCCACCACATTTTGCGCTGTCTCTTCTTTTGACTGGGACTCTCTGTATAACCCAGATACCCCTCCAACGAGCCCTTCTGGCTCCCACGTTCCTTGCGCACCGTAGTCACCCTCCAACCCATCCAAGTCGCCCAACCACCAACAAAATGCCAGACACTAGCAGCAACAAAAATGACATAGAAGACATTCCAGAAGATCGGACTGCGAGCAAAGCCATGCGCAACATACCCGAGTCCCACGCCGGAACTCCCACCTTCAACCATGACAGGCGTTGCGCGGTTTACCAGGACATGCAGTCCGATCAGCGGCGCCACAACGTATCCCGAGCGAGCTTGTAGAGACATCCGCGGCCACCAGGAGAGCTTATCGCGCTGTGCGCGGGTCTCGGCGCCGTACAGTTTTGCGCGGCGCGCGGCGCGGATGTTGCGGAGAGCGATGCCGGATGCGACGTGGCCTAGGATTGGGAGGGTCAGGACGAGGTGCTCGATTCCTGGGGCTTGGTAGACTGGTCGCGTGAGCAGGAGGTAGGGCTCGCTTGCGGGCACGGAGCGGGTTACGAGTGGGATGAGGGAGGTGTTGGCGAGGTGGAGGATGAAGAAGGCTGTTGGTGGGTAGGTTGAGTATTTTTGAAAGCCGGTCACTGGTCAAGTATGTTAGGATACGTTTGTTGAGGCGGTTGAGGTGGTTTGGGAGGTTTGACGTACGCCATGTATCCCAGCGGTGGCCGCGGAGGCCCAGTTTGGGGATTAGGAAGCCTGTTTCATGTTGCGGGAGAGGCTCATTTGAGGGAAAATAGTCGCCGCTTTCAACATCTGGTGTGTCGGTGACAGGCGAGGGGTCCAGTTCTTGCATCGAGATGATGGACTTGGTGTCGATGTCCTCCGGTTTGGAGGGTTGAGACGGCATTATAATTATAAGGCGTGAAAGAGAAAATACAAGACTCAACAGACAAAAGAAAAGAGAAAAGAAAAGAAACTCGTTCAGCAATTCAGCAATTCAACTCATTAGGTGAAAGAGGAAAGTTGAGGTTGACGATCTTGCTGATTCCCGCAAACACAACGACGTTGATAGGCCCTTCCCGCTTCTACGTCAACTTCACTCCAACATTCGTCTGATGGCTCCGGTAGGCTTCACCTCGACTCTTGACCCTCCTATACAAATACAAGCTAACATGCAAATAGCGCGGCTTTACCAACCCCGCTCCAAAGGTAAGCTACATAGTCCCAACAGCTAAGCGCGAAGCTAATCCCAACAGACCGAGTCGGCACGGTCAGCGCTGAGCGCCTTCACCTGCAATCTCTGCAACAAATCTTATTCCCGACATCCGGAATATGAAGCGCATATCGGTTCTTATGATCACCAGCATCGGAAGCGACTCCAAGATTTGAAACAGCTCTCACGCGATCCAAATGCCGCTGAGAAGGCTCGCCGGGCCGAGCGCAAGGCGGATGCTGAGGCGGGTTTGAGAGTTATTGAGACTCCTGGCGAGGGTGCTGCGCCAACGCCAGCGGCCACGAGCGGTGGTGGCTTTAAGAAGGGGGGGTTCAAGAGCTCTTTTGCTGCTGTGAAAGGCTCCGCGGTTCCTGCAGCTCCTGTGAAGAGGAATATCCTAGGGGATGATGAGGATGACACTCCGAAACCTATAGATAGTCTTCCACCCGCTGCGTCCAAGGTCGTCGAGAATGAAGAACGCCGTGATGATGTTGAAAGTGACTCCGATGAGGGATATTCACATGGAGCGGGTGCCTACTATGACCCGCGCCAACCGACGGATTGTTTCGCTGGATGTGCAGCTCAGAATATAAAGCTTGCTACGTGATGCTGGATATCACCATTCATTGTTGGATATATGGCTCTGCTTGGACGGCGCTTGGCTTGGAGTTTACATATTCTTTGTGACATTCTTGGAACACGAAAATTGCTATCTATCATTTTGAGGAGTTGGGAGGAATATCAAAGCACTTTACGCTGGGAGGACAGACCCTCAGGATGTAATCGTACATAGCTTTCCAAGAATCTGTCTAGAAAACAAACCGCAGGAACATAATGAAACAACATGACT